TGGTTGGGAGGGGGTGGGGGGGGGGTATTTCAAAAATAAAAAAAACGTTTTGGCCCACCAAAAACAGGCAACTGTTGACAGCTGATATTTGTGCGATTTGATCTTTCGAATATCGTCAAGACAAACGTGACCTACAGCAGCAACTGCTGTGTCCTTTCTGCCTTACTTACCTTGCTCTCCTCGCCGTCTTCCACGTCTTCCGGCTTCCTGAAAACCTTCTCCCGCCTAGGCTGATCCTCCGCTCCCTCCGGAGAAGGCGGGGCCGTGGCAGCAGCCGACGATTCGGAGTCGAACGAGACCTTGCACCCGTCGCTCACGCTCAGGTTGTTCAGCAGCATGCCCCTTTACCGACATAACGAATCGTCGCATGAAAGTCACTTCTTAGTTTGATGACGTATCAAATAGTTTTCTCTGAAGACTGCTGTGCTCTCACATCTCTTCGCGAAGCTCGCACAGAGCTTCACATCGTCAACTTCTGTAAGTTACTGAAGTACATTCTTGAGTCCAGGTCCTTCCGAGGTGGCGCGTACTGCTTGACAGATTGAGTTCAGAAACCCATTATTGCTCTCCTTCCCCCCCCCCACGCAGCCAAGCCCAAGCCTCCTTTCCCCCCCACCCATGGGAATCGTGCCGGCACACGACGGACTTACTTTGAACCCGCCTCGTCGAAAATCTTGCTCATCTTGTGGAACATCGGGTCCATCTTGAAGGCGCGGTCTGTCTCGCTGTAGACACCGAGAATTTTTGTCCAAGAGCCGCAGCAGCGCAAGAAAAAAGATGACAAAAGGGGCGTGTGCGGCGCGCGGTTCGTGGGGGGGAGGCAACACGACAAGAGCTGCCAGACAAAAAAACACAGCGGATGCGGTAGCCGAACAGAACAAATACAACAGGGCGAACAGCCTACCGACGGTCTTATCACCCGCCAACATAGGCAAAAAAATAACTTAAAAACAGAGAACCCGGGGTCGTCTGCCAATCCAGGCCACCGGACAAAACACGCCTTACCCTTACCGGAGAATCATAAAGAGACTGTCACCTCGATGCAGAGCTGGGCAACGTGACCACACAACATGGGGGCAGGTGGTACATACTGAAAACCTTGAACTAACTCACAACTGAACAACGTTTCCAAAATACTCGGAGCAATAAAGCAAAGATCAACTACCCAGAGGTGAACAACGTTTCCAAAAACAAACAAAGTAAACATCAACAACAACAACAACAGCAGCAACCACGCACTTACAACACTGCCGTGACCACCAGAAACCACAATGAAAACAAGAGAAATGCAGCAACACTAGATAGATACATACCTCTGGTCGAGCTGCTCGGGCTTCTTGAGCGTCTCGTGGACGCCCAATCGGGTCGACCGCTCAGAACTCCCGACGGCAGCACTGTTGCAACGCAAGCAAAACAGATAGACATAGATCGTCAGGGTGAAATGCCGCCACCGCCGTCGCAAGACATGGGTTACAACCAGAGAGCACAAACACTTGAAGAGGGACCTCCTAAAATATGCCCGGGGCACGTAAACCACTCTCAACGATGCGCATGCTCGATCAGCAGAACACAGCACGTGGAAGGGGCGCAAGCAAAACACGCGGCTGGACGCGCCTACCGCAGCGCAACGCACACCACAGGCCCAGATTCGTACCGCACACGAACGCCCAAGATCACCGCAGCATACCGGGGTCACACACCACAAACACTGCACCATCACACCATATATCTATTGGTACAAAAAAAAAAAATCATGAAACGACCGCCAACAGAAAGAAACGAGCAGAGAGAGAGAGACGGAGCTATCGGGGACCCAAGAAAAAGACTAATAACCGAAAAGAGATTTCTCGGAAAATTCTCTTCCTACTCACCCGGCACCCTTGTCGGCGTTGTCGTTGTCGGAGCGGTTGAGGTTGTCCAGCAGGGAGTAACTGCTGATGTGCGTGGCGTCCACCCTACGTTTTTTGTATATATTTTTTGTCCGAAAAGATAGCCGCGCACGACGGTGGACAATAAACAACAACGGATGGATCAGTATTAAACCACAGACCGGATCGCCGCAACAAACGGCGACGAACGAAGGGGTTGTCTTGAAGGCACTTTAACTACCCGGGGCAGCAAGCAAGAGGCTCTTCCGCCTAACCACACACCAATCACGCCCCCACCACATGCGTTTCGGGGAGGGTAGGATACAGAGTGCGATGTGCGGACTGCTTTGCTGGTAGTCAGCAAGCAAGAAGCTTCTCCGCCCCCCCCCCCACAATCACACGGCCACCAACCGTGTTTTGGGACGCGTAACTGGCGGAGTGCAACACGTGGAATGTTCTAGTAGCCCGTGCCTCTACAAAAAGCAGTAACCGGGACGGCAGTGCTCCGTTGTATGGGACACGCAGGCGCACAAACAACGGCAACATAAGAGAAAAAAAAAACACGACAGCCCGCAAACAGAGACGGCAACCTGAACGACAGGGGTAGAAAGGTGATGACACCAACACCACCACGACACTCATATCACTGTCAAAAAAGTTTTGCTATGCTTCGTAGGGGCCTCTGAACGAACACGAACAATCGTCCATGATCCTGAGAGAAATGCTGGCGATGCAACGACAGCAGAAACAGTAACCGTAGCCGCAGTATCATCATCATCATCATCATCATCATCATCATCATCATCATTTACAACACCAACAGCAGCAGCAGCAGCAACAACAACCATAACCATAACCATAAAGGTAGCCGTGTACCTGTGGGAGTAGATCTTGACGGAGGCGTCGAGGGTGCAAGAGGCCTTCTGGAAGTTAACCTTAGACCCCCCCATTTGCCCACCCTCGTCCAAGATGACCCTGATTCGCGACGATACAGTAGTCACGGCAAGAAGATCAGACTTACGGTGATACAAAGATACAGAGCACTTGCGACTTACAGAAAAAAAGCAACAGCAGAGGGACACACACCACTCCACAACATTGAGAAGTTGGAAATTGATCCCATACCGTCGGAGAGGCCCCCAATAGTGCGGATGCCCGGCACAGTAGGGGTGGAATTGGCTGGCACAGATGGAATAATCAAGCTGGCTGATACATTGACTAGTTCGGGTGCTCGCTAGAGGACGGGTGAAAGCGCGCGGCATCTACTTCCAGCACTATAGAGGGCCCCCGACTGCACTACGAGTTAGGTCACGTCTGGCCGCTGTCGTCCATGACGACTACCCAACAAAAGAAATAGGCGCGAGAGGAATATACCCGTACACCATCAGCACGCACTCAGCTGCTAAGCCCCGGATGGAAGCTTAGCACGAAGACAGGGACGTACGCCGTAACCCGCACCACGCAACACACACCCCGGTGATTAACGACAAGGTAGGCCCCCTCTCGTGAGATTGATGCACGGGGCACCCACGGATCCGGAGGGTATCCTCGGCCCACAAAACGCCCGCTACTCCCCCACTACACCACCGCGTGTAGAACAGCGGCGACAGCGGCAGCAGCAGCAGCAGCAGCAGCAGCAGCTCACCTGTCCATGTAGTCGATGAGATGCAGCCCCCAGCACTTGTCCCGGGTGATCTTATTCTCCGAGCTGAGCTTGATTATGGAGCTGTACATGCTGGTCAGCTTGCTCTGCTCGGCGGAGACGGCCACACACAGCAGCGACAAAAAAAAAATATATATATATATATATATATATATCGGACTCAATCAAAACGGCGATCTCAACAGCGGCAGCGCTGGTCTGAGCTGCGGACGAAACAAGGGATGTTTGTGAAAGCACGGTGGCTGAGCGTGGCCCTGGGCGCGTGCACAACTGTCCGCCTAAAAAGGCAAGTCCTGCACTAAATAGGAGAAAAATATAAAGGGTTTGCAAAACGAACAAAAATCAGACGCGCGACTGCGAAGAAGAGCAAAGAGCTGTTTACCACTAAAGTTCGATGACAAGAATACCAGCCGGAGCTGGCTCGTGGTCCTTTCTTGGCAAAACGTGACGAGCACATGCTGTAATTCCTAGCTCTCGTGGGACGCAATCCGACCCCTGACCACTCCCACTCGCCAAGAAATAAGTGAACCTTATGCCGAGAGGTCATAGGATAAGTCTCCAACGTTTTATTAGTTCACCGAAACGGCGTGCTGTTTCTCACGCCGTGGACTTTTCTACCCTGCTGTTATCTGAGTAAATTAGTGCTGAGACGTCCGTACAAATTAATGTACGTCGCAAGGGGCAGCTGACCCTCCCTCTTGCGGCGGGCTCAACCTCCCGCGTCAGGTTGGTACCCAAAACTCTGAATTTTTGGCGTTTCTGTTCATCACTTGATTGACTGCCACCGGGCAAGATCGCTCCACCCCGTGGTCACACAGAAGGGTTCCTCTCCCTGCGGCCCCCTACACCCACCCCTCTTGCAGTACCTTGCCTTCGATATTGAACATAAAAACACGCGAAAAACTGAAAAAATCTCTTCTCGCCCCACGGGCGCACGAGGAGTCAAGGATCCTGCGCTTGCCTGGTCAGCGTTGGCATCGAATCCGCCGCCTCCGAAACCAGAAAGCCTCCTTCCAACAGAAGAACGCCTCCGTCCAAGCAACGACTTCCGCGCCGACCTGCTTGTTTGTTGTCCAAGCAGGGGATCGATCACGATGAATTGATGAGCGCTTCCGAGTCGGTTGTGAACGGGTTAACGCTCTTCAGCATACATGCGTTGTAAATGTAAACCTTTGCTTGATGGAGTTACCGTAAGGATGCGAGAGAGCGCACGGGGGTGTTGGCATTTTTCAAAGCTTGATTGCTCCACGACAGGAGGGTGCCAACACCAACCGATACCTCTCAGGAAAGCCCTCGACGTGGTATTTCCAAAACCACCACTGTCGGCAGTGGTACATACCCTACCCTCCTGGTTGTAGATAAATCATGCTATGAAACGCTGACACCCCCGTGCGTTCTCTCGCATCCTTACGGTAAATCACACGTAGTCTACACACACATCGGGAGGGGATTTACTGCTGTAGTTGACACTATTAATAGACATCAACCCCCTGCCTGGACCAATCTTCAAGGCTCGGTTACCCCACAGCAGAGAGAGTGGCGGAGCCGAAAATGGCGGCGTTGGAACCCTCTCCTCGACATCGTTCCGAAAACGTATTGTTTGATCAATATATATAAGTATTATAGTCTTGGTTGTGGAGTAATGTAGTCGACGGTCCAGGTAGTGTGATATCTTACGTCATGCATCCTTCGGTAGGCCGGTAAGCTCTTCCAGTTGTGTTTTGAGACAGCGGTGATGGTAGCTAAAACATGTGGAGTACAATCCCTACGGCACAGGAAAAAAGCCGTACCTAGATCCGCTTTCGCCAGAACGTGGCCCCTTCCCCCCGCCGGCCGGAGTGTCTCCGTTAGGCTCGGCATTCTCCTTATCCTTTTCCTTCTCGGGAGTGTCGGCGATGAGCGAGCTCGCGATGAAGATTCCCGTGTCTTGGAGGGCCATGCTGCTGCCGCCGCTGTTGCTAAAGTTGATGACCCTTCAGCCAACCAGCTCCTGGGTATTGCCAGGTCACCCAAAAGCACAGCTGGGGCTTCCTCTTGTTCGCACCGCAGCTATAGAGGGCTTGCCTGATGCGTTAGGGCGGCAGGGAGCGTGGTGCCCGCAGCAGCCCAAGCTGGCCTCTCTGTCGCTCTCCTGTCGCAGCGCACCCACTGATTTCAGTCACAAATCCAAGCCACGACAGCGAAGAAAGGCCACGGGATCAAGGCAGCTGCACGTGTCAATGTCCTCGCCACTCTACTGCTACCGCTGGCCTCGCTGCTATTGCTCAAGACTCAGCTAAATTGCCAAACGGCCAATAGCGGGGGGCACTCGGATAGTACTAAAGCGGGAGACTGAACACCGCGGACGGCATTTCTCTTGGAATTGTAACCGTCGGAAGAAAAATGGGCACCGAACTTGAACAGGCACATCTCACTTTTGATCTCTTGACCTACGTCACTTTGTGCCTTTTTTTTGTGTCGAACAGAAGGCATCTGTCGTGCTATATGATGCCCCCCTGTCCTACACCCTCGGTGCAGCAGAGCCTACCTCCGTTCAAAGAAGATTCAAATATGAATGGGCTGAGAGTTCAAATTTGAAGTCGTCAATCGAAGCGCCAACGAGCACCCCCCCGTGCCCGATCTGCCCAACCAACATGACGAACCAATTTCAATCTTGTTTCTTGAAAGTACAGTCAAAGTACAATTAATTCAGAACATCACCACACGAGGTATAACGACAGCAGCAGTAGCAGTCGCAGGTCGCAGGGGGGGGTTGTCTTGAGAAGTTTTTTTTGCAATCAGTGGGACGAGAACTGGCTACATTCTAGGCTACATGCGTCTTGGCGGCTTCGCCGACAGAACAGGAGGAGCGGAAGGAGCCAGTCCACACCACGCCATCCCTCACCGGAAGTACACCAACTATAATAACAACCAACTGCGGACATTTGCGGCCTAACTTTTCTACCGATTTACCGAACTGGCGTGACCCAACGACCCAACACACACAACTGAGGGTAAAGGAAATAGTCTACATCTCGCAAAGGGCCTCCCACCTTCTTCCCCAGGCATCCCAACAGCGTCCCACCGCCGCCAGAGACCGAGGTATGCGGGCTTCAGCAAAGCAGCAAAGAACGTGGAGTTTCTCAATGTTCACAGCAGGCGGGAAATGTACAAAGCTCGCTCTGCGGGATCCCTGACAAACGTGATCGAGTTCCCACGAGTTTCTGAACCTGGGTGCTGCTGTTGTTTGAAAGGTCTCCAGGATCATACAGAAGACCGACGCTGTGCCCTGTGGGCGATCGAAGATGTATCTGCCGATTGATCCTGGGGCAATGCGTGTGTTTGCTTCTATATATAGCTTCTGAGTCCCGGGTATGTTTGGTTGTACTCCGTACAGCCGTAACCGAAAGAGTGCCGACGCCGACATTTACAACAAACAGTTCTGAGTTCCGCTGGAAGTTGACTTGCACTTGCAACACAACGGGGTCGTCGTGAACGTGCGTTTCAACCGGTAGTTTGACCATGGTTTTGACCGGTAGTTTGGGGAGAAGGTTTCGATGTTTTCGGTAGACCCAGTGTAGAGCATGCTCGTCGAAGAAAGCGTCCGGGACCACCACGTGCGAAAACTTGGGGTTCCACCCAGAGCACCACCACCACCAGCCTTTCATTTTTTCATCAAAGGGTGAGCGCAAAGACGTGCGTTTGTTGCCTGGAGCTGCTTTCGTGACGACAAGCAGTCAACACCAGCAGCAAGCAGCAGTCACGTATTGCCACCACCGCAGCAGCAGCCAGCCGCAGCAGCAGCAGCAGCACCGGAAACAAAATATCCTGCTTCTCTTTCCCCTCCCCACTCCCAGCCACACCTACACGCCACCACCTCTGACCGGCATCAACAGGATGATTCAGCCGGCGATGGTTCGAATGGCAGCTAGGCGAGCTGTGGTCGTATGCGGAGCCAGAACAGCAACCGCACCAACGGCAGGTAAGAGGTGGGGGTTGGCTATTGTTCGAAGGGGCAACCGCCTCTTCTTTTTTTTTTGCATCAGCTGCGCGATTGATTGTTCTCTTGCGGCCAAGGTAGAAGAAAGCACACCAGCGGAAGGCTGGAATATTCGAACATAGACGTTGTTTATGTGGTACTCTGGTAGACAATGGCGAGGCTGCGCCACAGGTCGAGAGATTTAGTTGTTGTTGTCGGCAGAGTATTTGTTGTAGTGGTGTCCACTGCTGTGGTGAGCGGTTGTACATACTTGCAAAAAGCTAAATAAGCTGTCGTCTGCTGCTGCTGCAGCAAGTAATGTTGTCTCCGACAGCAGTTCTTTTTCAGATGCTATTTCCTGAGTCTACTTGTAAACCTATGATGATGTGCGTCTGTGCGGTGCGTAGTCTATGCAATCTCGGTGTTCGGGACTACATACTGTAGACTGCTGTGCAGGGGCTGGTCTTTGCCAAGGGGTGGGGGCGCGAGAGCGTGTGCGGTATATGTCTCCCTCTTTTGGCAAAGCCTGCTACAGCAGTACCAGTGTTTCGTCTATGCCGCAAGGCAGTTTGCGTCTGGTCTGTTCCATCGCCGGCGTTTCTCTGGACACGATGCCACTGCTACCGCTTGTTGCTGCTCAAAATGATCATGACCCTACCCTATTTACAAATGCCTAATGCTTTCGGCCTCTGCACTTCCTTTTACAGCCCGCCGACAGCAGGAGCGATGCTGCGGAGGGGGCACACGATGATGCCGTACAGCAGTCAAACGCGTTTTTTTTTCGACGTACGCATGTGCACAGCAGCAGCAGCAGCAGCAGCAGCAACCAGAATTCTTGGATATCTAGATATTTGCTGCGGAATGGATAAATAGGGCGAATGTCAGGCCGATAACGTTGGTGGCGTAAAACTGCTGCTGCGCTGTGAATGCCTGTCTTCGTGTTTTTGTTCTTTCTCGATGAACCCATCTACAGCAGCACATATCGTTGCGGTGCGCGTGTGTACAGCAGCAAGTGCTTTAGGCAAAAACCGAGATCGTTTTTTTCAGCATGGCTGCACGGGTCTGTCTGTGTGTACAGCAGTATTTATGTGCTTTATTTGTTTGCTGACTTTCCCTCCCGCAGGGCTGAGAGCGGCGAAAGCGGGAGCGGGGTGGTTGCCTCATCGACGACAGCAGGAGCAGCATCAGCATCAGCAGCAACAATGGTTTTCAGCGGAGCCGGCGCCGTTCAGCAAAAAGAGCGTCATGTTTGTGTGCAAGCGGAACAGCTGCAGATCCCAGGTGATCGAACGTGCACTTTTGCAGCGCGCACGGAAGTATTACGATGTACTTGTGGTCGATCACGACTTTCTGTCTTGTGTGTTGCGAGCCACGTTTTGTGGAAACAGACGCTCACCCCCGGTTGGTGCCTTCATTCTACAGTACTATTCCATGTGTACAGATGGCGCCCGCACTTAAGAACCTACCTGTTAAGAACATGAGGCTAAAAAAATCCGAAACTCATGAACATGAGCGTATTTTAGTGGTCCCCGCTGAGAACCTTACACTAAAACCTATATGATGGCCATTCGCAGCCTCAACAGGCAACTAAGAACCCCAGCCTCACGCAAATTAAGATGTTCCTAAGTGCGGGCGCCATCTGTACTGCACGTTCATCATATCCATATGCATACTACTCCGCAAGGTATCTTCGAAAGGGTTGGTAAATAGTGTACTGCTGCAGTACCCCCTGCCTGTGGGTCCAACTGCAAGGGCCGTTGGCCGCTCTTCGTTTTGTGGTGGCTAAGGGGGCGGCGTCTTAGTCTGTCTTGCGCATGTGCTCTCTGTAGAGCAGCGTCAGCAGCGTCACGCTCTTCTCGGTTGTGTTCGTTCAATTTTTTTATTTGCCGTGGTTGTCTGGCGGAGGAAAATCAAAAGTCAACAATTGTTGTTGTTGTTGTTGTCTTCACATCAAAAACCGTTCCGACCTCTCTCTACCCAGTACCTTCATATGTCCGTACTGATCCAACACTTGACGCGGTCGATTCCAGTGGTCACAGGCTAACGTACCCTAAAAAGGTACACTCAAATAAACTGGCCCCGAGGGGTCCGCAAGTCAATAGAAATAAACGACAGATATTGTGGAGTCCTCCGCTCCCTCTGCGCGCTATGCGAGGTAACAACTGAGACGAGGAGTCAGCATCACGGGCCAGAGAGAAAGAGGTACACCCCCTTGGTTCAATCTTGGTGCTTCACACGCAAGCAGAGACACGGCCATCTGACACAGAAAAAGAGAGAAAAAAAGAGCGACAACGAGAACAAAGAGAAAAAGAGAAAAAAATAAAAGGAAACAGGAAGAAAAGAGAAAAGAAAACGATGTTGTAGTCTAATAACCGTGAAACGCGCCGTTGTTCGGGAAGATTAAGTAAGATGGTTGGCAGGCCCCTTGGACGAAAATATTATATGGTTGGTGGGCCCCTTCGACAACCCCTTGGGCGAAAATATTAGATGGTTGTGGGCCCCTTCGACGGCCCCTTGGGCGAAAATATTAGATGGTTGGCGTTGCCGGGACGGAAAAGTTCACCCTCGAAGCAAGTGTTTTTTTTTTTCCAATACATAGGACGAACAAAACACACCGAAAACACACCACGTCCGTCTCTAGTACAGGTATTGGAAGAGTCTGGCATAGATTGTTGTTGTTGTTTTCTTCACATTAAACTCGTGTCAGTTGCTAATCCCAAAATCTAGCAAAGACTCGGCCCGTGGTCACAAAAATGCTAGAGCCATCTATTTATTAGATTTACAATGAGTTAATCAAATCTTGCTTGTGGTTTTTTGTAGTTTTGTAGTTTTCTAGTTTTTGTCTTCACTACAAATCAACCCTCACAGCACTCGTGCCGTTTACTCCAACCCGTGGGCACACAGAAGAGCCCATCTCTACCCTCCCCTCCTGCGGTACTTCGCCTTCGATTTTTAATGCTAGAAGAGTTCAGCACTCTCTTCCGTCTGTGTTCACACGAACTAGCGCTATCCACTAGGCCAGGAGCGGAAGCGAGAGAAAAACTCACTTTGCAAGAAAAGCTCGCTTACGCCGGGGTTCGAACCCCTGACCTGATCTCTAGAAAGTTTGGAGGAAACCAACTAGACCACCGGGGCGACCGGTTGCATACGTTTGTGTGTTTTGTGTCTGCACTATTAGCACCGACCGCGCCAACCGTTTGACCAAGGAAAAGGACGACAGCAGTGTGTGTGCGCGCGCGGCTGACCAATGAAAAGGACGTCAGAGTGTGTGTTGGCGTGGGACAGATAGATATTGATTGGACTTCTTTTTTAGTGTCGCGTATGCATACATACGCGCATCGAGAAAATATATTTACAGAAAGTACGTGCAGGTAGGGTGAGCAGGCTTGGGTAAGGTATACATCGTTCAGGATGCTTCACGAGTTGTATCCAGGATCTTGTGTCGATGTGGTAAACGGTGGAAAATTCCCCGCTCCTTGTCGGTTCTTGGTTTGTGGATCATGTCGTATCGCTCCGCGAATACCTACTGCTGTTTTCTCGTTCTCGGCAAGATGAGATGGTTGGTAGGCGGGGCCCCCTGAACGAAAGGTGCAACCTCCCAAGGCTTCACAGAGTGCAGCGGTGGCTGGTTTGAATCCTTTCGTCCTTTCGCCATATGCGTTGGGAACGCTGGTGCAGCCACTCGAGGTTCTTCCGCCTCTCACCTCTGGGCCCCTTTTTTTGCGGAGAATTTTCGCGGAGAGCAAGACAAACTAGAGGAAGAGAGGCCTGGTTGCGTTAGATACCACACCCCCAGGACCGATTTTTTCAAAGCAGAAAAAGCGGTGACGGTGCTGAAAATGGTGCCGTTGGCACTGCTGTCTCGTCAAGAGGCTTGCCGAAAGCGCATCATTTGATGGCGGCATCATGTTCGTCGTGGAGATATCGGGCTTTGGAAATCGGTCCCTCGGGTGTGGTATCTTACGTCATGCAACCTACGGTAGGTCTGTGAACAGCGGCACTCGCTCGGGAATCGATCCATCTGCTAACCTCAGTACAGCGCAGTAGGAGCCCACCCAAATACCAAGTAAAACCGATGGTAGGCATCATGTGGGTGCCTGTTCCACGGACAAAAGCTCGTGAGGGGCAGCTGTACTATCCTCAGAAGCAAGACCTAAGATGAAAAGTTTTTATCGCTGGGGGGCGATGGTGATTCACTGCAGTTGTCGCTCCGACATAGAGGGTGGCGTGATAAGGCCCTCGACCCTCTTGTATCGGCCCCCGGAATAAGAGGGTACCCGGGTACCCAACAATACCATGTAAGCCGATCGAATCCTTGACAACCGACTTAAGAGCCCCCTCTAATAAGGCCCCCTATTATTTTCGGAGCCACCACGACTGCTGTGAATGAACGATGTATATTTTGCTCTGAAACGTGTTTCTGTCTTTGGGAGGGGAGAGGAGGGGGGGGGGGGGGGGGGCCACCCCCGTCCCCGGGGTTCCTTAACCCTTCCGGGGGCTCGCGGGGCTTATTTGTGACGTAACGGACATACGACGTATTCTTACCAGATGGCCGAGGGGGGGGCGAAGCACCTCGCCAGGGATGACCTTGAGATCTGGAGCTCGGGGCTGGAGGGGTCCAGGGTGCACCCGACGGCCACGGTGAGCAAGCGAGCGAGCGAGCGATGGACGATGATGCACGTGGTCAGCAAGACGTGTGTGTGTGTTTTTTATTGTTAGCATCGACCGCGCTAACCGGCTGACCAACGAAATGACGTCAGTCTCAGTGCGGTTGAAAACACAAAACACTCATGTATAAATGCCATTAACTGGGACCCCGTGACGGGGCGGCATGGGGGAGACTAACCTATTCTCCGGATCGAAGACAGAAACGGCAGCAACAGAAGACAAGCGTTTGTGTTGTGTATTTGTTGGTATGGACCGCGCTAACCGACTGACCAATGAAAAGACGTCAGTCTCGGTGCGGTTGAAAACGCAAAATGCTTCCAAGAGACCATGATCTGGGACTCCATGAGGGGCTGTCATGGGGGAGGCTATATAGATGTGTGTGAGCGCGTCTCGGGCCTGATTTCAGCTGGAAAAATGGAGATAGACATTGCAAGTTTTCCCTCAATCAAACCTCGCTTGCTAAAAAGACTCCCAATTCTCGCCATAGCTTATGTGATTGTGTCTCCATTGAAGCATCTGTTGTATGCATGTTTTCTCACCTGAAGGGTACATCAGTTTTTCTTTTTTGTTCCTCCCTCGCTCACTGGTCGGCCTGTCGATGATTCTGATGTGTCTGTGTGTGTTTCTTTTCATTGCTTTTCCCGACACGTCTCGCAGGCCGTGATGCGACGGTTTGAATACAAACAGGAAATATGTAGTTGGTCTGCATCGTTGTGTCAACTTGCTAGCATTGGTTTCGCTGCTTGCTTTTCCCGACACGTGTCGCAGGCGGTGATGCAGGAAGTCGGCGTTGACATCACCAGCCACACCTCCGACTACCTCCACGACTTCACGCCGACCCACTTCGATGCGGTCGTGTCCATGTGCGGGTGAGCTCACCGGCGACGACACTGCCACCTTCTTTTTTTATTTTTTATGGTGCATTTGAGGCTGATTCTGATACACCCGGATTCCTCATCCAAAAAACATCAATCCAGGATCGGCCTGACACAACGATTCCATCTCTATCCATAGAAAAGAGTCTACGATAGATTAGCAAATAATTCATAGCGTCGGCGGAAACTACCTGTATTTCTACGGTTTCCCGATCAGCACACAGCACACAGCGATATTGTATTTTCTTGTTCACGCCTACTAGGCTAATCTCGCCGCACCCGCGTTATTGTGTCACCTCAGACATGGATTGAGAATTGAGCTCGATGATCCTGGCTTGCTTGCTATCACTACGGCTGCTGTGTTCGTTCAACCGTCTTTCGGCGACAATAGAAAAGAACCAGATACTAGTCTCCTACGTTTGGTTTGGCGCCTGAACGCTACCAGTGTATGTAGCAGAGGTGTTTTTCGACACAAGGATACCGTAAGTTGCATAGGATATCACACCCCCTGGACCGGTTTTCGAAGCTCGACTAGTCGGCAGGAAAAACAGCAGTGACGGTGCCGGAAATGGCGGGAGGCGTTGGAAGTGTCTCGTCGAGATCTTTGCGAAAAATTAATCGTTTGATTTCGGTATCCTCTTGGTCGTGGAAAAATGTACTCTAGAAATTTTGAATTTCGGTCCAGAGGGTGGGTGTGGTGTCTTACGCAACCTAATCGTGTCGGGCGAGAAACCGCCCACCCAAGAGAGATATTGCTGCTGTGCGTGTACATACAACGTCTCTACTTCCCTGTATTCCCCCTCCCAACCCCTTCCACCGGCACAAATGACATTCCCCCGTCCTTGTTGTGTTTCCTGAATAAGTCGGCTGTACCCCCCCATGGTCCTGTCCCCCCGACCCCCCCCCCTAGGTGTGGGACCAGCCTGCCCGAGCCGTGGCAGAAGGCGGGGGTGTTCGAGGACTGGCAGCTGGACGATCCGGATGGGAAGCCGCTGGAGACCTTCCGCAGGGTGCGCGCGGAGATCAAGGACCACGTGGAAGCGTGAGTTGTTGCTGTGGTTGTCGTTGTTGTTGTCTTCACATTGAGAACCGTTCCGATCTCCGCTCAGTACCTTCTAATGTCCGTACAATAATAGTACAACTGACGACGCGGACGCTTTCCGTGGTCACAAGACAACTGCCCCGAATGCGGGGGGTGCACCTTTCTTGAAGAAACGAGTGGGCAATGGTTGCTGCAGATGTAATAGCGCCCGCGCTTCAGGACCACTCTCTGGCGTTGGCCGGTTGTTGCAATAGTTTCTCTACAGTATTGTAGGGGAACTACGAAATGGCCGCACTATAGGTTTCAGTGTCGGGCTCACAAATGGTGCTCTGAAATTCTGTTTTTCGGGGCTGTATCAACTTCTTACATGGCCTCCAAGCGCGGTCGCGAACTGAATACGCGTAGGGCCAAGGGTGAAATGGAGGGAGGTTTGTCGTTTTTTTGGTCGGGAGCGGTTTTGGCATTTATTGATACACGGGGCGTGATTTTTGGTGGGTGGGGAGGGGTGTCTCTTGTTTGCTCTCCTCCTCTTCCCTCCCGGGCTCACGTTGTGCTCCTTAAAAGTCATGTATGGTAAAAAATTTTGTCTTTGCTCAACTCTCAAAAGCTTGTGTCTCACTCTCGAAACGTCTATAGATAGTGGTGGTGGAGTGTTTGTTGGATGTCCTTCCAACTGAACCTCTCGTGCTGACCTCTCAAATCTCTTGCCACTTCAGTCTCGAACGATCCTCTTGTAGCGATAAAACGTGCTCAATGCTCGATTTCTTGACGACGAAGAGAGCTCCTTAGCCTTAAACAGAGAGCTCCTTAGCCTTACCCAGAGAGCTCCTTAGCCTTCACCAGAGAGCTCATTAGCCTTAGCCAGAGAGCTCCTTAGCCTTACCCAGAGAGCTCCTTAGCCTTCACCAGAGAGCTCATTAGCCTTAGCCAGAGAGCTCATTAGCCTTAACCAGAGAGCTCCTTAGCCTTAACCAGAGAGCTCCTTAGCCTTAAACAGAGAGCTCCTTAGCCTTAAACAGAGAGCTCCTTAGCCTTAACCAGCTTGGTTACGTTTTCGGAAAGCTCTCGGACGAGACGGTGCTGACACCGCAATGCTCGGCACCGCCGCTGAGTTGCCCTGGGCTGTAAAGATCGGTCGTCTGGGGGTCAGTATCTTTGTGCAACCTCCAATACCCTCTCTGAGCACAACATCGGTAGGCCCTACGAGTACGCGTGAAAGGTTTCGACACACAATTCTGCGGCCAAGACTACATGTAAAACAGGGCTGGCTCAATGCGGGTTGAATCGAAGTCCGTCGGTTCACTAGACTTGTGTGCGCGAACAAACGATGCTTTAAGCCCCGCGTACTGCTACTTGAAAGAGGTGCCGGAGACCGACCACACGAGTGAGGGTGTGCGATTGGTTGGAGATCGATTGCTCGACAACCATTGGTTGGAGGTCGATGATTACTCCACAACCATTGGTTGGAGGTCGATTGCTCCACATCCGAAGAGAGGGGCGAAAGCTGACCCGGACACACGCAAGGAGAGCTTTCACATCTCGACGAGGATTGCACATGTTTCCGAAGCCACCAGCCACCCTTGTGCGGGGCGACCGCATCTACACGTGTGCGATCGAATTTTTTGGGCTCAATTGCTCCACAGCCTTGTAGTCGAGAGGGTAACCAGACCGACACGTGCAAGGAAATGCAACTCTCTCTCTCTCTCTCTCGACGCCGACGAGATAACATCTTTCCAGAACGAAGCCACCCCTCTTCTCGGCATTGGCAAGCCTCAAGGTTGGGGAGAGAACGAGATTTTTTTCAACCATCGATACCACAGCTGCTGTGAGTTGGCCCTGGCGCACTTTTACGGCGCTTCCGTCCCGCGGCTTGAGGAGACAGAAGTAGGAAGATCGGGGGGTGCTGGGAAGAGGTGGATTTTTTTTTTCCTTTTTCGCACCGAAATCGAAGAAGCAGCGATGAGAACCACCGTGGTGTGTTGCCGGCGCCGACAACTTTTGCGCTCCGCACGCACGCATCCTCGCATGCTTTCTTTGGCACTGCTGTTTCGTTAGAACAAACGGTGTGTCTTGGAGCTCTTTTTTTGTTCTCGCTGGGAATCTGTTTTTGGGTTCGCTTTTTTTTTGTTTTCTCTGCCGTCCTTTGTTGACTTCTACCCATGCTCTTCCGTTGTGGTTAAAAAAATGTTGTTTTTTCAAAAAAAATTAACAGACTCGTGAAACAGCTGGACACGACTCCTACAGCAACCGAACGACCAACAGCGACGCCTTCATCACCCCAAACCGAAACAAGACGGCCTCGTGCTGCCACGACAACCCAACGCCGCCGGAAAGCCGGGGTCATGGTCGCAGCGTGAGGCCTTTTCTCCCTTGCGCCCGACCACCGCTGCCACGCCTCTGACAACAATATCGCCTCTTGCGTGAACACCTTTCCGGGTGCCGCAACCGCCGCCGCCGCCGCCGCTTCCGTCCGTCCATGACGTAAAGACTGGTCGACAAGATCAAGAGCGGGAAAGAGACGACGCAGGAGGAGAGGGACGCGATGGCCAAGGGGCCTAACGAGTGTTGACTACCGTAGCCCCTCCGCCTTCCTTGGACCTTTCCCTCATGTGCGCTGGTGACATCGTTGGCTATAGTCGGAGCCATGCAGCGATGGGATGGAATGGCGTGTGTGGTCGGTCTACTGCCGCGCTAATCTAGTGGACTGTTGTTGTTCATCGATGGAGCCCCGTCAATCCGCGGGGGGGGGGGGGACCCGGGTGATGCACCACCAAGCTCTGCCGCTGCCATTGCATTTTTCGGCGGCATATTTTTCGAGTTCCATTTCGAAAATCGCCTGGGGACGGGGCGTGGCATCGTCGGAATCGAGACGAATGCACCTATTTTCTAGCGCGTTGGTGCATCCCACGGGACCCCCGGCGTTTCACTTTTTTGGGCCATGCCTTTTTTTTTTTTTTCAGTAGATGGACGGAGATGAGAGGGGGAAAACATTGTCGGTGGTGATCACCGATCGTTGGACGAGGTGGGGGGGGGTGAAGGAAAGTAACGATTGTGCAAGGCGACACGTATCTACCATATGCGTACTTTTTTGCGGCGGGGGCTTGCTTGTCGTTGGTTGTGTTTCGGGCGTGAATGGGTTGGCATTTTACAGATAGATCGACGTTGGCAGGTTAGAGATAGAGAGAGAGAGAGAGCGAGAGGAGAGGGGGGTTCGAATGCTTTTTGGTGGGCACCCGCGCAGCTCAATGGCTTTAACCACGGCCTCGATTGCTCGTTCGTTGATTTTTTAGTGCGCCTCTGCTGTTGCTATGCGTACATGTGCTCTTCTCGCGCGATACTTATGCTCCGCTCAGTAGTCGGGTACAGGATTCATACGTTACCTACATACGGCCGCACCGCTCGTGCCCAGGCGGGGCGAATGTGAGGAGCAGAAAAGAAATTGCTGCGACGAGTAGAAATCATAGATATCTTCGGTTCGTTTATGGATTTGTTTCGCACAGACAACAACACGGAGTATACATTATTTTGTTTATTCTTTTTATTTTAGTCCGCACGTCGTTTTTGTTCTTCGGCGCCTTGCCTTTCTTAGCGCCCGAGCAAGAATTGGTGGCAAGGTCGTCGTCTATTGCCCGGTTGGCCTCTGTTGATGGCGATCGAGAGGGCGAGAGCTTGGTCTGAGAGAGCGCCCTCCAGCTTTCAGCTTCTTTGGCGGCCGCAGATAGATCGCGACATTGTTGCCGGTATCTTGTCGATTTGACTATCACACATCGTATACAAGGGGTGGTACCTGCTATCTACAGCATCAGTAGGTTGGTCTTGTTTTTTTTTGTTTTTTTCTTGCCCTCTCGCGTCCAGGGGACAGGTGGGCATGGTGCGGGATGGGCCTCATTTTGTTACGAACTTTTAACAATATTTTGTAGGGTACGATAAGTTTTGTGTGACGTGTGCTGGTTAGGAAACGGTCACCACACATAGGCCACCGTCACACGTGTCACAGCACCAGCCACAGCAACAGCCACTACAGTGGAAATTTCGTTTCATAAGGTTTAAGATTTTCCATTTTCAAAAGAGATGAAAAGGGTTTATTGCGTTGTGTATCCTTCCTCGGAATCTTCACTAATTGCGTTAAGGCTGAGAAAGCCTCCAAAGCCGAGTATTTTCCTCTTTTTGGGGGGCCGCTACCCGTGCGGTGAGGACCCGGCGTGCTCCGTCCAGGCTTTACAGGGATGCGAGGTAAATGGTCTTAACGACTACGGCATGCACGGATCCCCCCCCCCCCCGGCAAACGGTGGCTGAAACCATTGCGTGATGTTAACGTGATGTTAGCCGCTGCTAGAAACAACCGCTCCAGAATCTTCGATGCTGCTCCCGTGCATCTACAACACTGGTCAGAGATGCGCTACCATGACGATCTGGCTGCCAGAGTACGTTCAGGATTGGTTTCTGCTCCTAAAACGAAAGAACCTAAAAGGATTTCTTCGCCGTTTTTTTTTAGGCGCCGCATTATTGAGTCCGGCAGAAGTTTTCCCTTCCACTCACGAACTGCTGCTACCGGGTATGTACTGTTTTTTTTTGGGGAGGGGGGTGCTCGGTAGATTACTGATCCACGGGGCCTCTGGGAGTTGCGTAGAGCACATGTGTACCATGGATACGTAATCCGTGCGGGGCCCGTCTTGCCTCCCGCATGTTTCCCACTCGTGCATGATAAAGGTCTTGAGTCAGCCTTCTTTTTCTCTGTTAGCCACTGGCGAAGCTGCCGTACCCCAACAGTTCTGATTGGCCAATATTTTTGAAAGGAATCTTACGTGAAAGTCGACCTTCTTTCCCTTTCGGCCGCTTACGAAGTTACCGCACCCAGACAGTTCTGATTCGCCAACATTTTGAAGGGAATTGTCCCCGTGCGTGCGTGAGCGTTTGAAACCAAACTGTGTTCCGTCTTCCAAAAATGTTAAAACCGAATTGCGTTCCATGCGCATCCTGCCCCTAACGCCCCAAGGAGCCCCTCGCTGGTTCGCCAATCAATCGCCTCCCCCTGAAAAAACATGTTCCGAAAATTACCCTTGCGCTCCAATTCCAAAGCCGCACACTCGTGGACGTACGGGGAGGAGCACTGAGTCAGACGCCACCGCGGAAAAAAAAAAGAAAAAACGCGAAAAATACGGAGAGCTGACCAAACAAAACTCAAAACGGGGGTTGCGCGGCCCACTTGGCCACGTCTTTGCGACTCCCGAACCGGAACGAGCCAACGTGGATGCTCCGCAGGGAGGGCGGCCACTCCAGCCCCCGCACGTGGGACACCGGGTACCGCGCGAAGAAGGAGAGCCGCCTCAGGCCGCGCGGCAGCGCCAGCCCCTGCAGCGAGTGCGAGAAGGCCCAGCCGAAGTGCAGCTCCCTCAGCGTCGCCGGCAGCATCAGAGCGGAGTCGCCGCCGCCGCCGCTGCCCAAGCCGTCGAAGTCGCCGATGCCGCTCTCCATCGGCTGGTCGAAGCAGTTCCCGAACCGGAGCTCTTCCAGGCCCGGGGGCCACCTCACGCCCGCCACGGGGCGGTCGAACTTCGACTCCGCAACGAAGACGAGGCGCTTCAGCCGCTCCGGTAGGCGGGCGGCTTCGAGCTCGCGGTTGAACGCCGCGCCGAGCCGCAGCTCTTCTAGGCCGCCGGGGAGGAGGGGCGGTGGGACGGGGGCGGCGTCCAAGTCGGACGGCTGCGGCTGCGGCTGCGGCTGCTGCTGTTGCTGTCGGTGACTGCTGCTCCCTCCTCCTCGCCCTTGTTGTTGTTGTTGTTGTTGTTGTCCCTGTTGTGCTTGGTTTTCTTCCTCTTGGGGGTTGTTGTTGTTGTTGTTGTTGTTGCTGCTGCTGCTGCTGTTGGCGTGGTCGAGGGGGTAGTTGAACGCGGACCCGAGGATCAATACCCTCAGGCTCGCCGGCAGGGAGACCGTGTCCAGCGCAGAGTTGAAGCCGTCGCCGGCGTCCAGGTACTCGAGCCTCTTCGGCAACGACAAGCAGCAAGAAGGCCGCCGCTGGCGGCGGCTCCCCCCGCCCCCCAAAGAACCCGCGAATAGCGCATCACCCCACCTGCAGGACAACTCGAGGCGCCGGAGCTCCGCCGGCCAGCGCACGGACGACACGAAGGAGAAGGATTGACCGATCACAAGCTTCTCGAGGCCGTCCGGCAGCTCGCCGCCGGCCAGCGGGTGGTTGTAGCCGTCGCCGAGAACGAGCTCCTTCAGCCCGGTGGGGAGCAGGAACGGCGGCGGCGGCGAAGCAGCAGTAGCAGCAGCAGCAGCAGTAGAAGGAAGCGGTGGAGTAGTGCCAGCGCCGCCCGTTAGCGCGTTCGTCGGTCCGCCGCCCCCGCCGGTGCCGCCGCCGGTGTCGGCGGTGCCGGCGGCGCGGGCACGGTAGCTAGAGCCGATGCCGGGGGAAGGGAACGCCTGGTTGAACTTGTCCCCGAACGTCAGCGTCCGCAGCCTCTCCGGCCAAACCACGTCGCCTATCGCCTGCGGAAACGTTTGATCGGCATCAAAAGCAAAAAAAGCTGAATCGTTGCGGCGGTGAGGGTATAGCAGTGCGTGCAACGAAGAAGTACCGTCACGAAAGGTTTCGTTGCCGCCAAGCAATAAAAAGGCTTGACTTTTGGCGGTGCGGTTCAGCAGCACGCGCGAAAACGATGAGGGGTCAAGTCAAAAGCCCCGAGCGCTTGCGGTACGTATCAGCAGAGAAAAAAACAAAATGTACAACAAGCATTGTGGCGGCTTACGCCGCCACGCGCAATGGAGCGAGTCCCAAGGTACATGGGGGCGGTCGTGTGTGGATCGTGGCAGGTTAACTCGACGTTATGTGTCGTAGTATGCCCGTATAGTGCGCATGTCTATAGCGTGATAACACGTAGACGATGGCATGTAAACGTCAGGATCGACGGTGTCACAACTGTATGCTGTGAGAAGGTCTCCTGGAAGGATGTCAAGGACTTGTGCGTTAATGGTGTCTATGGTAGCGTTGGTTGACGAAAGGATGGCTCCAGCCTTGAACTCAGTCGGGTCGGCGTCGAGAATGTCCGGATACACGAAATTGATCAATTCTTCAAAATAGTCTGTGTTGTCAAGGACGAACCGGTCAGAGGCTATGTTTGGCATGCTATGAACGTATGCCAATGGCACGGCATCGACGCCGTCGTCTGTTGTAACATGCGGTTGGGTACCAACACCGATATTTCGGACGAACGCAGCGTACGCTGCGTCCTCTCGATCGCGCTGCGATATGGAAAGACGCACACGTCGTACATGTTTCCAAAGCGGACTGGAAATGATGGACGCATTAATTGTTTCCGCGGGCCCGCCATGTTTGACGACAGGCCCTATCTGGCGTAGATCACCGCTTAGCAAGATAGGATTTCCTCCCATGATCATGTTATCGCCCATAAGATCTTGGAGTGTAAGATTAAGAGCTTCGACAGAAAAACGATGGCTCATTGGGATTTCGTCCCAAACAATAAGGTCACACTTCCGTAATACTTCTGCTCGTTGCGACTCAGCGGAGATATTGCGCGTTGCACACCGCTGACATTCTTTTCATCCAGTGGTAGTTTGAACATGGAGTGCGCAGTCAACCCACCAGTTGGAGACCTGCGATGCCCGTACTGGCAACACAAAGGACTAATTTACTGAGTGATGGTAGGTGGGCGCATAGTACGCTCTCCGTCTTACCCGTCCCAGCAGGCGCGTCTATCATGAATACGTTAGACGATCCTGATGACACGCTGTTAACCACGCTATCGTAAACATGACGTTGCTCGACGGTGAGGTTTCGGAGATGCTCGGCAACAAACATGCGCATTTGCTCCGGATTGAACACGTGCTTGAAACACAACTACTGTGTGTCTAGATGGATTACGGCAGGCAGTCCAACGATAGCGTTCGTTCGTCCATGGTGCTGTAACCCGAGATCGATTTCGCGAAGGGCGGCGTTATCGGTATCCAGATCGGTCATGGACATGCGCAAATCTGACGTGAAGTCCTTATTGAAATGCTCCCACAGAAGGTTGGCAGGGGCCCCGTCAAGAATGAGCGTAACAAATAGCTGGCGCAACTGTCTACCCGTGTTGAAAATAATGGCCTCCTCTAGGCATACTTTGTACTCTTCGTCGTGTTTGATTATACCCATGGCCCTAGCAGCGTCCTGAAAGGTGTCATACACAATGTCTTCGTCAGTCCTTAACTGCTCAAATGATCTTGCGGGCTCGTGGTGTAGAAGTAAGCGCAGGTAAAAAACGTCACCTTTATCACGGGACATTGCCGACACACGTGCGACATGCTTTTCAGATGAATGTGGCGTCACAAAATTGCGGTATGTATCTCTAAAGTATACGCATTTTGTGCGCGCCTTCTCTCTTTTGACTATGTACATCTCGTTGTAGTCGAGATACGTAAGCATGTTGAATTCGATGTCAGCGGGTCTGCCGAAGTAGAGCAGGAGGTCAGATGTTGAACGAACCTCATGCACCGCTCGTTGACCGAACCCCGATGGATTCCGAAAAAAGATATTCATACATATGGATTCCGAAAAAAGATGTTCATATGAGAACAGAGCAGTCGCATACGTGCAAATAGGTATGTGCGACACACGTGTAAATAGGTATAATAGGTATTATTGGGTGTGACAGAGAGAGATAGAGAGAGACAGAAATAGAGAGACAAAAAACAAAGGAGAGAGTGAGAAGGCAGGGAAAGACACACAGACACACAAAGAGACACAGAGACGGAGAGAGAAATGCAGAGAGAGACAGAGAGAGAAACGGGGAAAAAAAAAGAAAAAAGTTGTACCGCCCATTCCGACTCTGCTTCCGACTCTGATTCCGAGAGAGGAGAGAGCGAAAAAGCGCCGAAGAGAGAGAGAGAGAGACCGGAAGAGAAAAAAGAAGGCAGAGACCAATGGAATGGTATTGGAGAGGACCGTAGAGCTCATCGGACCGAAGAACTGCCCTCCGAGCGACAAAATTGCGAAAACTGCAAAATGCGAAATGCTGGCCTGTGAGCGCTCGAACGGTCGGGACTGCACTCTGAAACCAAGTGATTAAGCGTGGTGGCCTGAGAGCGTTCGAGAGAACGATCCCTGGCCCGCAGAAAATGCTGCGATTCTAGGAAAAAGATAAGCGAAGTAATTGTTATGGGCACACATTTGGCGTGGTGTGCGCGGGCGATCTTGTCGAAAAGAGGATCTCCAAAGAAGAGGATCTCCGAAAACCGGATCTCCAATAAGAGAATGTCCGAAAACCGGATCTCCAAAAAATCGTATCTCCGAAAAAGAGGATCTCCAAAAAATCGTATTTCCAAAAAAAGCGTATCTCCGAAAAAAACATGTCCGAAAGCTCCTTTACCTGATTGAACCTCCCGCCGAAAACGACCTCCCTCAGGCCTTTCGGAAACACGACCCCGTTCCCGTCCCCGTACCCCAGGGACTGGTTGAAGTACTCCGAGAGCGTGAGCTTCTCGAGGGACGCCGGCCACTCCACCCCGTCCAGCGGCTGGTTGAACACGCCCCCCAGGTGGACCTCCCGCAGGCGTGGCGGCAGCCCGATGCCACCTCCTCCCCTCAAGGGCTTGTCGAAGCTCGTGCCGAAGCGGACGACCTCGAGGGACGGTGGCCAGGTGTCCTTAGCCCCCACCAGGTTCCGGTTCCACGTGGCCCCGAACTTGAGCCGCTTGAGCGCGGGCGGCCACCGGACGCGCCCGGGCCCCAGGGACTCGTTGAACCAGTAGCCGAAGGTCAACGCCTCCAGGGTCTCCGGGAACTCCACCGCGTTCACCTTCTCGTCGAACTTTGCCCCGAAGTGCAGCTCTTTCACCCCGCGCGGCCAACCGAAGCCCGCTTCGAGCAGCTCCAGCGCCGGTAGCTGCCAGATGATGCCGACGGCCCTGACGAGAGGCACTCTTGTGGTAGCCCTGGCCGGGGTGGGCGTGGCAGGGAGCGTAGAAGCTGCAGCAGCAGGGGGCGCAGCTGTACCTGTGGCAGGGCCCCGAATACTGCTAGCGGCGGTAGACCCAGGAGGAGCGACAACAACCCTGGTTGCTGCGCCTCCGCTGCTGCTACTCCTGCCGTGCCACGAAAACTTGTGCTGCGCGCCGCCACCGCCGCCGGTGGTTCTGCTGCCGACACAGCCGCTCCCGCCTGCTCCGGAAGCCGCCGCCGCCGCCCGCTTGCTGGGCCCCGCCCCGCTGCCGCCTCTGGCGCCGTCACCTTGAGCGCCGGAGTGACCCCCGCTGCCGGCCGTTTCGGCGGAGAATCTTCTTCTGTCGACGCGCCACAGGGTGCGGGGAGTCCCGTCCGTCACCCTTACCCTACGGGCCACCTGACGCCTAGACTCGCGGCAGACGTACAGGCACGAGCACTCCAAGGAGCGGAGCTGGTACGGCGGTGGTGGTGGCGGGGAGTTGTGGGGTAGGGCGGGATTTTAGCGATCGGTCTAAAAAGCCTACGCACGTTGTGTACAAAACCTGGCGTAGCGGCAAGTGAATAGGCACGTCCCAAGGAGTGGAGCTGCAGTGCGGTGCTGGCGGGAGTAGTGGCTCCCCTCCCATACATAGGGGTCCAACAAAAAAGAATTAAAATATTTCGCGCGAAGCGCGAAAAGAAGGGCCGGAGAGAGACATCAAAGCAAGCGTAGATAGAGATGGATGGAGCCTACGCCACCACGTAGGTCACCAGTACGCACGCTCGCACCTCACCCGATACCATCAGTCAGTCAGGGGATCAATGGGAGAGCTGTTTAGCTCTCATCATCATCAGCTCAGCGGCAGCAGTGCTGCTGCTGCTGCTGCTGCTGCTGCTGCTTGCTGTTTGTTGCTGCCGCTGCTGCTGCTGCTGCTGTGCATGGGTGCGACTTGCTTTCTTCGCTTTCGCTACTAACAGAGGGCAACAGGCTCTAAAAATCGCCACCGATGCCTCCCACGACGTGCGTATTTGGCCGCCCGTGGCTTTCAGCGCTGTGTACGTCTCACTTGTCTCTGTTTCTGGGGTGCGTCTGTTGTGGAAGCAAAGATCGGCCGGCAGACGAAGAGACAGCAGACAGAGATCTGACTTGTGTGCACTCGCATGTTCCCTCGCTTACGCTGCTAGCAGTAGGCCTCGGGGTATAAAAATAGCTTCCGACGCCAGCCATGATGTGTGCCTTTGACCGGCCTTGGTCTACAGCAGTGTGTAGGCCTCGTTTTCTCTGTTGTGGGGATGCGTCTGTTCGGGAAGCTCCAAAGATCGGTAGGTTGAGGGTGATGCAGACAGACCGCGGGTTGACTTGCGTCGTCACTCGCTTGTGCTGCCGACAGCAGGCAACGGGCCGCAAGAGTCCCACCCAACGCCTCCCATGATGTATGCCTTTGGCTGCCCTTGGCCTACAGCAGTCCGCATACTGCTGTGCTGGTTGTTTCGTATGTTGTCTACGTGATGTGTATGGTGCTGCTGTGCGAGAGGATTTTTCAGTGATTCTGCCGAGAGCGTCGTGCCCATCGCCCAATCATCTGTCTCTGTCTTACAAAATGTCTTACAAACTCGACGGGTGATTGGTGGGAGTTAGGCATCTACCCGGCTCTACCCCTCTAAAACACAGATAATTGTTGGAAGTTCTTCCGTGTCTTACAAAAAATTGCCCTATTTATGGGTGCTGTGCCGGAGTAGTCGTAATGACAGTAGGGTGTAACGATGGGGAAAAAAGCCTTCGCACGTGTTATACAAACCTCGCGTCTAGGCTCGCGGCACGTACACATACACACGTACACATACACACACCCAGCCGCACTAAGACTGACGTCTTTTCATTGGTCAGCCGGTTAGCGCGGTCGATGCTAACAAAAAAAACACACACCCAGCAGAGACAAGAGAGAGCCGTGCTCGGTGACACGATCGTGTGCGCCCGCCACGCATCATCATCGGCGGAGACAGGACATACAAGAGATACGGAGTGGGAAGCAGGACAGAGATGCCCAAAATGCAAGCCCTTTTTTTTGTCAACCATTGTTTGGTCGAGGGGGTCGACCCTTTCGTCTCTCGCTTCTCCGGTGGGCGACGCGGTGTGCTTTTTGTTTTTTTTCAATACTGAACACAAAGAATCCATCTCTATCTACAGATGAGAGTCCAGGATATATTGTACAAGCAACGAACCCGTGGCATTACCGCAGCACAACCAGTGTTTGTGTACGGTTCCCCGAGCAGCTGTAATTTTCTCAGAGTATTGCTTGTTGTCATCAAGCGCATCAACCACCATTTCACCGAGCGCGTTTTTCCCGCTTGTCCCATGGTTGGTCAGAGAGGCGGCGGAAACGATCGAGGCCCCCTGTGGTGTGTGTGTGTTAGGGCCTTTGGCAGGTGGCGCCGAAGCGGGTACAACATTATAGTGGGAGTATGTTTTCGTTTTCGATCAACAAAGGTTAACATACGAGAGTGTGGGGGGAACATCCCGAGCTGCGGGCAAGCGAGGGGGTGGTCAGTCGAACACTGATGCCTTCACACGGCGGTGCTGTTTGGGATGGGAAAAGTTGTCGGGCTCTACTACTGTACAACAAGGGCAACACCGTGCGGTCCTTACAGGCCGCAAATCGTGCCTCAGAGTTGAGTTTAGAGATGTTCGGTGGTCGACGCACGGGGGTGGGCTCTCCTGATCTCCTTTTCTAATTCCTCGAACCTTTTCTGAAAAGGGCGGGGGTATGCGGTAGGCAAACCCCCGTTTGCCCGCCGTGGCCCGTTATCCAAAAAGAGGGGCACATCGTACCATTTCAAAGTGTCTCCGGAAGCAGCAGCAGTTGCTGCTCAGCGATCCCAACAAACAACTACGAGCAGGGCAGCAATGATCGTATCTGCCAGGTGGTGAGGACTCATGCTCAATTTGGGAGTTATTGCGGCTACTTCTTCCCTGTGGTTGGTTACATCTCGTCCCGTACCCTGGTGCGACCGCTTTCGCGCGTGCGTGGCAAGGATGCTACAATGCAACATGCCGTTACTGCTGCGCCTGTGCGACCTTGACGTGAACGACGCCGCCGACTGCAACTAAATGTTCAACAAGGCGATTGGACGAAAAAACACTCAGAGGGCTCCGGGACTTGCGCCACACGGGAACTCGTTCACCTGGAAGAAAGTAAGCCATCCAGCTCCCGTGACTATCGCCAGACCCTCGTTTGTCCTTGGGGAAGGGCTGCCCATAAGTACTGCTGCTTTGCTGCTTGCGTGGGTTTATCCTGTAAGCAGCAACGTGATGTGTGTGGTGTGCACACTTTACGGCATCCCCCAGGTACAAAGAGGTAGGTCGGACGTGTTGGCTTGGCCGTAATATTGCTGATCACCACCCCCTTACGCTGACGGCGGCCTGCTTTTCGTCAAGCTCGTGCGTTGTACGATTGGAAGCAGATGGTGCGCTAACCCTGCTGCTGTACACAGCAGGCAACAGTCCGTCTCCGGACGATCTCCGCAATCTTCGAACGGCTGGTGGGGCAAGTTTGCGTGCCCCCTCCGTAGATCCGTCAAGATCCGTTGGATCCGTACTCAATCGCCTGTCAACCTTGCTTGGTGCATGATTCACCACATACATAATGAGGGCGGGGCTTGAAGATCAGTGGTAGCAAAGTCTAACGACTGTCCGCAACTATCACCCTGTGCGGGCCCCGCGTTACTCCTCTTTTCGACCTTGCGTCGATGTGTACAGCAGTAGTACAACAGTGGCGTCCTTCCGACTTGTCGCCGTCTTCTGGTCGACCAGTACCAGCATGATACCCTTTCCTTGTAATCTCAGGCTGTATCTACGGTCTGGAAGGTCATTGTCCCCAGACCTTACTTAGACTTCAATTTTATCTCTGCGTCATCCTTTGGTCCGTGCAAGCACCCCTTGAACCCTAGACTTTTCCTTCGTTCACCTTTCTTTTCGTTTTTTTTTTTCTCTCTCCGAAAAAGCATGTGACATTATTATCTCCTTCGTTGCCAACGTATCGAAGTCGTCAACAACATCGATGGCATAGGGGGGGGGGGGGGGGGGGGGGGGCCCAAAAAAAAAATTGCAAAGGAAAAGAAAAAGAAACCCTTGGCCAAAGGGAAAGGGGCCCAAAAAAAAGGGGGAATCCCAAAAAAAGGGGGGGGAAAAAAAAAAAATTAAGGGGGGAAAAATTTTTTTAAAAAAAAAAAATTTCAAAAGGCGGGGGGGAAAACCCCAAACCGGGGTGCCCCAAATTTTTAAAAAATTAATTTCCCCCCCCCGAAAAACGGGGAAAAAAAACCCCGGGTTTCCCCCGAAAAGGGGTCCCCAATACCAAAAGGGAAAAAAACCCCCGGGGGAATTCCCGAAACCCCAAAAGGGGGGGCCCCCCCCCCCCAAAGGGGGGGGGGGGGCCCATTGGGGAAAAAAGGGCCCCCCCCCGGGGCCCCCGGGCCGGGGGGAGGCCCCAAAAA